CGCAGGTATATTCTTGACCTCGTCCATACTGATGTCTGCTCCATGTCGGAAAGATCCCTTGGAGGAGCTCAGTACTTTGTTTCATTTATTGATGACCATTCCCGCAAAGTGTGGGTATATTTGTTGAAGTCTAAAGACCAGGTACTCCAATCCTTTAAAGAATTCCATGCAATGGTTGAAAGGGAGAATGGCAAGAAATTGAAGGTGGTCCGATCTGATAATGGTGGTGAGTATTGCGGCCCATTTGATGCATACTGCAGAGCGGCTGGGATCCGACTTGAGAAGACGCCCCCCAAGACTCCACAGTTGAATGGACTGGCTGAGAGGATGAATAGAACTATTGAAGAGAAGGTACGAAGCATGTTATCCAATGCCGGATTACCGAAATTATTCTGGGGAGAAGCCGTCAAAACAGCTGTTGACTTGATCAACCTCTCACCATCACAGCCACTTGAAGGAGAAATTCCAGAAGAAGTCTGGACAGGTCGGAAAGCGGCCTATAATCAACTGAAAGTGTTTGGATGCCGAGCTTTCGTGCATATCCCTAAAGATGAAAGTGAAAAACTTGATGCAAAGACAAAAGAATGCATCTATCTTGGTGATGACCAAGACATTGAGGTCCGAGTTGATGATGAGATCCGGGATGAAAATGATGAACCGGCTTCTCAAGCTGAAGAACAGCCAAGATATCCAACTCGAGAAAGAAGACCCTCTAAGAGATACCCATCTGATGAATACATTGTTGTTGCTGAAGACGGTGAGCCTCAGAGTTATGATGAGGCTGTAACGAGCTCAGAGAAAGAAGAATGGAAAAAGGCAATGCAAGACGAGATGAAGTCTCTGCACGAGAATCAGACTTATGAGCTGACCGAGTTGCCTAAAGGAAGACGAGCTTTGAAAAATAAATGGGTCTACAAGATTAAGAATGAAGAGAACGGGAAAAAGCCGAGATACAAAGCCCGGATTGTAGCGAAAGGCTGTAATCAGAAGAAAGGAGTAGACTTTGAGGAGATTTTTTCTCCTGTGGTGAAAATGACCTCGGTCCGAACTGTGTTAGCCATGGCGGCTTCGATGGACCTCGAGGTAGAACAAATGGACGTGAAGACGGCATTTCTTTACGGTGATTTAGAAGAAGAAATATATATGGAGCAACTTGAAGGATTCCAAGCTTCAGACCAAGAAGACTTGGTATGCCGATTGAAGAAGAGCCTCTATGGCTTGAAGCAAGCACCTCGGCAGTGGTACAAGAAGTTTGAATCATTCATGACTGATCATAAGTTTGAAAAGAAAGAAGCTGACCACTGCGTATTTGTGAAGAGGTATGAGGTCGGAGATTTTCTGATATTGTTATTATATGTTGACGACATGCTTATTGTAGGGAAAGACAAATCGAGGATAGCCACCCTGAAAAAGGCGTTGAGCTCGTCCTTCGCAATGAAGGACCTCGGCCCTGCAAAGCAGATTCTTGGAAGAAAGATTATCCGAGATAGACAGAAGAAGCTACTGTGGCTGAGTCAAGAGAAGTATATTGAGAAGATTCTGAAGAAATTCAGCATGGACAAAGCCAAAACAGTGAGCACCCCCTAGCCGGACACATAAAGCTGAACCAGAAGTAATGTCCGAGATCTGATGAAGACAAAGATGAGATGATGAAGGTCCCGTACCAATCCGTCGTCGGAAGCTTGATGTGTGCTATGGTTTGCACTAGACCTGACTTGGCGTATGCTGTTGGAATGGTAAGCCGGTATCTGTCAAACCCCGGCAAAGAGCACTGGGAAGCAGTGAAGTGGATCTTCAAATACCTCCGAGGTACGACCGACTTATGTCTCTGATTTGGAGAAGGCAAAGCCGAGTTGCAAGGCTACTCGGATTCTGATTTAGGGGGAGACGCCGACTCGAGGAAGTCGACTACAGGATATTTGATGAGATTTGCCGGAGGAGCTGTCTCTTGGCAATCAAGACTTCAGAAATGTGTTGCACTATCGACAACTGAGGCTGAGTACATTGCCGCTACTGAGGCAAGCAAAGAGATGCTATGGATGAAGAAATTCCTCATGGAACTCGGCCATGATCAAGATAAGTACGAGCTGGGTTGTGACAATCAAAGTGCAATCTATCTTGCGAATAATTCGACCTATCACTCCCGCACTAAGCATATTGATGTCAGGTATCACTGGATCTGGGATGTAGTGGAAGGTGGAGAGCTCGAACTCGTCAAAGTGCACACTGACCAAAATTGGTCCGACATGATGACGAAGCCGGTTCCAACAAGAAAATTTGAAGACTGCTGTGAAGGAGCCGGGTTGATGCTGAAGCCGACGCATTGAAGTCGGAGAGGGAGATTTGTTGGGCTTCCTCCTTCAATGCTAAGCCCAAGTCCATTGAGGGGTTTTCCAAAATCCCTAAACCTAAATTCCACCTCCTATATGTATTCATTAGTTGAGGGTGTAGGTTAAGTTAGAAGAAGAAGTGAGAGAGAAAAATTTGAGAGATAATTATTTGATTATTTGAGTAAAGCTTTATGCTTTGCATTTGAGAGAGAGTTTGAGTGAAACATCTCTAGGGTAGTTTGATTTTCACCATTGTTGGAGAGGTTGAGTTAACCACCACATTGGTGTATTTGATTCTTTGTAACCATTATTTTCATAGTGGTTTCTTGATCTGGACTAGGTCCCGTGGGTTTTTACTTCTTCATTAAAGAAGGTTTTCCCAAGTTAAATCTGGTTGTGTTCTTCTTCTCTCTTGTTTTGTGATTTTTCGTTTTGATTTTTCACTGCGTTGCCTGACCTGGTGAAGTTCAGGCCGAGGTATTGTCGAGATCCGAGATCAAAGGTATTGTCGAGATCCGAGATCAAGAACCTTGTTGATTGACTTCCGCGCAAAGGCTGCTTAACCCAGCTTGAAGAAACCGAGTTCCCAACATGTTTCACATTAATTTCTTGTTTCGCTAAAAATTTGTTTCATTTCTTTGTCAGAAACAAGGAAAATGCAGCGTAGAGCTCGTGACGAGGAACGAAGGATCTTGGATGACCAAGAAAAGTTGAGAATTGAATTGGAGGGAAAAAGGCAAAAGCTTGATTCCTAGAGCAGCCACCTAAACAAATGTGAGGTTCTAACGTTTATTTTTTCATTTTATAAACAGCCTTGTCATGGTTTGTCCTTTCATTTCATAAGCAGCCATCTAACATAATCTCTTTGTCCTTCTAGAAAGATTTGAAAAATGAGTCACTGCGTATGGGTTCAGAGGAGCTGAAGATAGCTCATTAGAAAATTTTAAGACTTGTTGAAGAGCAAAAGGTTTGCCTCTTAACCTTTTGGATGAGTTTTTTAAAAAAATGATTTTTTATGCATTATTTTTTTTGTAAAGAATTTTTTTTAAGAGATAAAGTTATTTTATGTTTGGATGTATGATCTAAAAATCACTTTTACATAAAAAAATTATTTGAATGTTAAAATAAAAAAAAAAGCATTTTTTATATGTAAAATTATAATAAAAGAGAGATAAAATAGCACGATTGTGGAATAAGGAGAGATAAAATAGGTATGTTAGGATGAGGTTAAAATTGTATTTTAAAAATTTATATTATCTTTTTTTCAAAAAAAAATTATATTATCTTTTAATTTTTGCTTTTTTCAAAAGCAACCAACTACTGGTTAAAAAAAATAGTATTTTAACTTTTATTTTAAATTTTACTTTTTTAAAAGTTGTTATCCAAACATCTAAAAATTCTCAAAATGACTTTTATTTTTTAAAAAGCAATTTTTTTAAGAATAAAAACTCATCCAAACGAGCACTATGCAGCATATCTTGTGTATCACTAATTCTTATACATTGCGAATGCTTTGTGTATCCTGAAATTCGCAGAGATAGAAAGAGGAAACCTTGAAAAAGTTACTTCATTTCGAAAAAGAGCTAGATGCTAAATGCCAAACAAAATTAGAAATGGAAATTAAAGAGTTAAAAGGGAAATTGCAACTTAGGAAGCATCTTGGAGATGAAGACGATGCAGCTTTCTAGAATAAGATAAAAGGAATGAATGATGAATTGCAAGAAAAAAAAAAATAGAAGATTTGGAGGAAATGAATCAAACCCAAATTGTCAAGGAGCGCGAGAGCTATGATGAACCACATTTGTAAAATTAATGTCTCACAATTTTAAAATTAATGTCTCATCAAAATTTTAACATGTCATTTTTTTTTTTGAGTTATACACTAAATTAGTACATAGACATTAGTACAAACCATCATATTAAATATCAAAGTACATCAACATCGTAAAACAACAATACAAACATATAATAATAGTAATCTACTGTGCATCTCCTCATCATCAAAATTTTAACATGTCATTTTTATGAACAGTGCTTAAACTAATGGTAAGAGCATCCTTAAAAGGTGGATCTTGGTTAAACTACAACCAAACTTTAAAGGTGGTTTAAACTGCAACGAAATTTTGTGAACTTCAAGAGGAAATTCTTTGCACTTGAAAATAACTAATTAAGGATTTCAATTTTAAAACTTTCAATTGAATATCTAAGCTTTATTAAATTACCATTTAAGGACTTCAACTTCAATAAGAAATAATTTAATAATACTTGTAAATTGAAAAACAAATCTTAGGACATATTTGCCATGTGTTTTCTTCATAATGTAACTTGCTTTAATTTATCAAGATAAAAAATACTTTTACCTTCTCATCATTTTATTAGTAAAAAAGCATTTCAATTAAGAGAAATCATTCTCTCATTTTACATAAAATAGTTATCGCATGCTCTTCTCAAATAAAAAATTTCACCTCCACTTTTTTTTCTTTTTTTATAATGGGTGGCAAACCCCAACATATCATGTGTCTATTGATAGAAGATATCAATCTCCAACAACACGAGAAAATAGAACACTTTAATTAAATCAAAGTCCTTAAATGATAACAATAAGAGTTTAATCTTGTAATTTATTTACTATTTAAACAAAAAAAATTGTACATACAAAGTACAAGCCCAAGAAAAATTGCTTATGAATAGAAAAATAAAGATATTACAATCATCCCCATCTCATAAACTCAGAAAAAACAGTTCCAAAGAAAATGAGCATTACATCTATAATTCCTGACTCCCAATGCTATTGGGATTAAATTTGAATGGTAAAAAAATGCTATATGGTATACTCTGCTAAGGGGACCATAGGAATCAAATGATACCAAATCAAATACCAATAAAATTAACCTGATGGAAAATTTGTCTTAACCTCTATCTATGGAGATTTCACTCTTGAGGCAAACGTTTCAGCAACCAGCAGGGGGAAAGCTATAGTTGCATCACAGTGTACCTGATTTAATGAAATAAAAAGACTTTTAAGGTATATATAGTATTGTTAGGTGTTAAGTACCTTTGTTTTAGTACCAGTATCAAAATTGAGTTGTCAAAATTTATTGGTTGTTTATTTTACAACAAATGTTTAGAACTACGTAAATATAACTAGCAACCAATAATTATTCAACAACTTACTTTAGGTTTGCTATTAGAAGTTATGTTGGAATTGCATAATCTAAAAATAGATGAACCTTTGGCCTTTTCAAGCATATTACTAAATGAAGATGCTGATGTTCATAGCTACAATAATGTAAATGAAAAAATATTTCTGCTTTTGCAGTAGAAAATTTTTCTCTACCGCACTCCTATAAAAGCGAGTGTGTCTCATTGTAAAAAGAAGAGAGAAAAAAAAAATTAATGGGGCCAGAGAAAATTTTTCAACAGTAAAAGCAGAAACATTAAACCATAATGTAAAAACTAATGAACCTCTGGCAAAAGCATTGATGGTAGAAGTTTAGAGAATTCTGAAAGGAAGAAAACGAGTTGTTAAAGTATTCTTATGAGTCTATGACATACCTTAACAGTCTTTGCAGATCCTCGGATTTTTCCCCATGAAACAGCCTCATCTGGACGAGCTCCAGAATCACTACCATCAAATTCTTGTGCAGTATTGATAAAAACAGCATAGTCTGCACCATTACGCATCATATTGGCATTGCAAATGTGATGTTTTGGAAGGCCACCCCCTAAAATGATCATGCCTGTTTTTCTAGGACTTGCATGTACAGCTTCACCATTCATGGCCCTTATATCTGTTGCATTGCTAATTACTTTAGTTATGATTCTACCTTTTTCACAATCATCCATGCAGTAAAAAGTAGAAAGAAAGCAGAAAAAAACCTTGAACTATGTCCACAATCAGACCAGGGCTGCGGAAGGAATGGAAGTACAACATGTCCCCCAATGATCCATCGGTTAGGCCTGGACAGAAAACTGGAATGTTGTTCTGGAAAATATCAAAGAAAATAATATTATCAGCTGTTTTCTGAAACCTACATTGTTCAGTAAATCGAAAAATCGACACAAATAACTAAATTGCATTCGGTATATAGTATATACACGCCACATGAAATATAGACAAATACAAGTAGAATGATGGGAAAAGAAACTAGGATAAAGATTTGTATCAGAAACAAAGTGGAGGGAATTGCATGATTTACGGAAAATCTAAGCTTGGAGTCATTCTTGCCTTGTATGCCCAGTAAAGGTAAGAGCTTTCATTGTTTATCTCTTTTCCCAATCGTGATATTAACTTAGATGGTGTCCACATAACATTCTGTGAAGAAAGAATAAGATGAAGATGTGTCAGGAAAACTGTTACAAGTGAAAACTGGACAAAATTAGTCTTTTAGTTGATTTTGGTTTAGCACAAACTAGACAAATATTAGAAGTAATACAAATACAAAAAACAATAATATTGACAAGGCAAAAAACAGAAAAACAAAATTGAAATCGTCATGAACCAACTATTTTAAAAGCTTAAACTCTTAGGTTAAGATACATAAATGGTTTTATATTACATCTCCAACATGTCCCCTCTAGCAAGAGTCATTGGGGGTTGAAGTTTGGACAATGTATAGCCCACTAACCTTATGCTGAAATTCAACAATTTTATTAGAAGAATGGGGATGGAAAGGATCAAACTCTAAACCATTTGATTACAAAGGCTCTAATATCATGACATAAGCCAACTATTCCAAAAGCTTAAGTTGTAATGTGAAAACATATGAATGGTTTTATATTACATCTTTAACACAAATATTTCTCAATCAAGTAGAGTAAATCTATTATGCAAAATTTAGCAAAACCAATAAATGTGACTCCAGGAATCCACAAAAACTGAACCATATAAATTTTATAATGCACTCAATAGAGAAGTATAAAATATAATACCTCATTGTTTTGTTCTCTCAACATCTGATCAAAAATAGGAATAATCCAGTCTTCAAACTTGCAATAGTTATCATTAGGGACCAATAAATTACCAATTCGATTCAACCCTTTTGAGCGCAGATAGGCTCCAGGTAGAGAGAAATCTCCTTTATACGTTGGTGCAAGGCACTTTATAAGATCTTCTTCAATGCCACCTGTAGTTGTAACAACTACATCAACCTACAAAATAGATGCAACAAAATTAAGAACATGACTAGAATAACTTGAATTTAATAATCAACAAATATTTGCTTTAGCCACTTACTTTTCAATGGATTAATTACAAGCTATCATTGTTTCACAAAAGCCATCAGGAAGTTCAAATACATATCTAATAAAGGGATATTTAAAGAACAAATAAATGCGATGCTCAGCACCATAGTGATGAGCAATCTCACCGCACAATCTTTTCATGCTCGATCCACATACTATGAAAAACTTAGTAGTGACAAAAATATATAGAGTTATACACCAACTAAAACACCCTTTTCACTTCTAAAAATTATATTTTTCATCCTCAATACAGCAAAACATAAGTTACTACGTCAATGGCTAAAAATAAAATCTGAAAAAAAAAATTAGGAAAGCAAGTTTATGGAAACTCACCATGTGATGCTGAACAAGATACCGAACAGTATCTCTAACACCAGAGGAGATGAGATTAGAAGTAAAACCCAGAAACACTTTACATGTGACAGATTTTCGATAATCCAAATCCCTCTCGTCATCACCGCAGTCCTCGGTTATGGGTTCATCAGCCAGTCTCCAATCTAGCTTCAACCCCATATCCCAAAAAATGCAAAGATGAGACTTTTATAAGCAAAAAGGCACAAAAAGGCAAAAATACAGAGATAGGGTGGAGAAAAATGAACCATTTGATTAACAACTTAGATGAAATAGCTTCAATCCCATATCCCAGAAAATGCAAAGATGATAAATTTATGAGCAAAAAGGCACAAAATGGCAAAAATAAATAGATGGGGTGGAGAAAAATGAACCATTTGATTAACACCTTGGATGGACTAACTTCAATCCCATATCCCAGAAAATGCAAAGATGAGAAATTTATGAACAAAATGGCAGAATATGACATAAATAAAGAAATGGGGTAGAGAAAAAATGAACCATTTGATTAACAACTTGGATTGCATCGGCGAGGTTGGAAGCCTGAAAACCAGTGGTGAGCATGGACCTAAGAAGCTCGGGATAATTGACGCCATGGTTGAAGTCATAGCCCTGAATCTGGAGGCACTTTCCATCGAGTTTTTCTGATTCTTTGAAGACGGTGGAGTGAACTGAGTTCAGAACTTCATCTTCCTTTGCATCACCCATTCTCTTTCTCTTTCTCACTCCCAAGACATAAAAGTACATAACAAAAAGCACCACGCTTCCAATTAGTGCTTTAAGGTAGTACCTGTTCCCCTGTTTTAAATATAATTATTCTATTTTATTTTACTTTTTTCCCATGACCAAAGAACCCTCCATGTTTTTTTTTTTTAGTGATCTGCTGAGGAATTTTGAAATATGGGTGATTTTAGTTTTTTGAACGATGAAAATTAGGGTTATAAAGATTAGCCCTAAAATTAGGTATTAAAAGATTCAATCTCGGTAATATTATCCCTTAATAGATCTAGTTACATCTGAAGTTCCTGAATGTATGATTTGTTAATCAAGTTAATTTGTGCGCTAGAAATATTGAGAATTAATTTCACATTTGTAATACATATTTAGGAATTAATTTAAATGAGAAAATACATAGGTATTGGATTGAGATTTAAAGAATTTTAATAGATTAATTTTGGATAAAAAAATTTATTGGTATTTAATTAAGATTTTAAAAAATTGAAAAAAAAAATCATGTGCAATTAATTCTATTAAGATTTTAAAAGATGAGATAGATTATTCTATTTTTTTTTTTGTCTACCACTCTAAAAAAAAACTATAAACTTAATTAGCATCTATCTTTCTCTTCCTTCCTTAGATTCTGATCTAATAATGTTCGAGAGTAATAGATAAAAATAGACAGAAAAAAAATAAGTAGATAAATAAAAATTAATATAGCCCAAAAATAAATTAAAATTATAATAAAAAATTCTACAAATCCAAATGACATTGTTTTGGGTTAACAAAAGAAACACTTTAACCTAAAAAGTAATATAAATAGACAATGTAAATAGAGAAAAAATGGTTTCAATATTATGCTATTTTATAGGAAGTTAGAGAATTAATTGATAGTTTTGATATCTAAGCGAAGACTCAGGTTCAATTTTATTAAGTTTTTTGAAATGATAAAGTTGTTTACATTTTAAAATGAACCGATTTAAAAATTAGTTATTTCTTAAACTGATTAAAAATAATAATTAAGTTCATAAATTAATTAAAAAAATATCGTTTCATAATACTTTGGTGCAATGATTCAACTCGATTTGTATAATTTTGTTCTTTATATAGTCATAAACAATTATTGGGCTTGTGAAGCTTTACCTCAGAAGGTATCATTTTCCAAGTCAATACCGGTTCAATATGAAGAAGAACCGGTTCAATACCAGTGGGCTGCGAACCGAGTCTCAAGTTTGACCCATTTCCTTTTCATTATTGGGCTATTCCATGGAATAAAAAGACCATCAGTTATTAACCAAAAAGCCCATTAGGGTTAGGGTTTTGTTATATTTGAGACTCATATACTTCGTTGTTCACTCTCTGTTGATCGCTGCCTCAAGGTCGAAGCTCGAAACCCTTCCAAGGTTTCTCTCTCTTTCTATTTCACAGATTCTTTCCATGATTCCATGAAAGTGTAATTTACGCCTTCTAATCTCAAAATTTCGTAGCTTTTTTATGATGCAATTTGTGATTGGTTTGTGTAGGTAAGTAATCAATCGGTGGTTCAGAATGGTGGAGAAGGGCAAGGGTAGGAAGGAAGAGGTGGTTACCCGAGAGTACACCGTCAACCTCCACAAGCGCCTCCATGGCTGGTAATCTATTATTTTTCCTGCATCTTATTCATTAGGTTGTTGTATGCTTCTTCTTTTTTTGCATTGTAAATTGCTATTTATTGGATTGAACCAACCCCAATTCTTTATGCTTTAATAATCCCTTTAATTTATTTCATGGGTTTAGTGCTAAAGCCTAAAATTTATAATCATATGGAGAAAAAAAAATTAGTAACCAATCTAGCTAAATGGATCTGAGATTTTGGTGGTTATAGAATAAAAGATATTAGGAACTTGTTGCTTCTTGTTGGGGGATTCAAACGCTGTTGTATATTGTTCCCATTGTTGTGTAATTCATACTGTTTTCTTTGTTGTTATACTATTAGATGTCTTAGTGGTTTCTGTTTGCTTTGTTTTATGGAAAATAGCACATTTAAGAAGAAGGCTCCAAAAGCTATCAAGGAGATCAGAAAGTTTGCTCAAAAAGCCATGGGTACCAATGATGTGAGGGTGGATGTGAAGCTGAACAAGTATGTATGGAGCCAGGGAATCCGAAGTGTTCCAAGGAGGATCAGGGTACGCATTGCTCGCAAGAGGAATGATGATGAAGATGCCAAGGAAGAGCTATACTCCCTTGTTACAGTTGTTGAAATCCCTAAGGAAGAGCTCAAAGGTATGGGCACCAAGGTCATTGATGACGAGGATTGATTTATCAGATATGTTTGAAATCTGGAGACATATATGTAGTTTTTTTTTTGTTTTCGCAATTGAGTCTTGTCTTTTCTAGATTGTTAAATTGCTTCTAATTTTGTTGAGACATAATGTGGTTTGATAATATCAATTTAGTTTTTGCTGCCACTCTTATGTTTGTGTTAGGACGATTGGGAAAAGCATAATCGATTTTGGCTCTCATTTTATTTTTCCTTATATATTGGTTGTGGCCTTGTGGGATAATGAAAATTTGAATGCGGTTGATTGACTCTTTAGTATATCATACAAAAATCACCATGAAAACATGGAATTGAATGCAAACATATCTTTTTCTCATACAAAGATATGATGGGTGTCTCTACACCCAGAATGGTCCCTCTGTAGGACCCTTTTGTTGCTTGTTTATTTCCTTTTTTTTCCAAAAAAGAATGCAAATATATTACGAGCACAAAATGCAATTTTATTCTGGTAGCAGCAGCTACTGCAAATATATTATAGCAAAAAATATAGTTTACTTATAATCAAACAACTTCAGGACAAAACTCAGGCCAGGCAAGAGCAAGAGCAAATTCAACGCTAGAATCTTTTGTAATTGTCTAATTCATTGCTGCCTGCCTCCCCGCTCTGCTTTTTGGTGGAACTTCATTTTTAGGCCAGTTTCTCTGTCAGCATAAATGAACGCAAAGTCAAAAGTTCCTTAACTTATAGCTGCTGCAAAACACAAGGGGAAAAAAATCAGCAGCTAAACACTGTAAAAATGTCAACTTTGAATTGGAAAAAGATCTCTGGCGACAGAATAAAAACGATTACATGTAGTAATATATCCAAAAAATTTAGAGCCGAGACTATGAAATCAATCTTGTGCTCTATTCTAGCTTTTTGATGACTGATAATCCAATGCCATATTGCTGAAATCTCCAAAAGCAATGAATCTTCAGGTAGGCAATTACCCCCGTATTCAGGGTTTGATTGAAGTAGACATGTTGGATATCCATGGAAATTATTAAAGTATAAAAACCTTTCCATATTGAGGAATGTTGAGCTCAGTGAGGAGAAGGCGAGTAGCCAGTAAACACTCCCACTTGTCATTTTGGGATTCAGTCATTCAACAGCTTCAAAAGTATGGTGATTATGAAGCCCCTCAATGAATATGAAAACGAAGTTGAAACCTTTCTACTTTTGGTTCAGTCTCAAATCAAATGTGCAAGTTACAATTGCAATGGACAGAATAATTCTCAAGATGTTTCTCATTCGCATCCCTCAGCTCTTTCAGAGGTTCTAATTGTCGAGGGTAAACAGCAGTCTCCATTATATAATGCCGCCGCATCATTGCTGAGTTAGACGGGCATATATGAACATGCCCACATAAAATTCCTTTGATAATTTTTATTGAAATTTCAAAATACAGAAAATAATGCAAGATACAAGAAAGCAATTATTCAACCTTACAATTTTAAAGACTTCATGAAACTCCCAATCTTTATGTAAGAAATGTAGCATATATACTTTTAGAATCTGTTAAGTGATATTAGCACAAATGATAAATATTATTATACTAAAAAAATGATAAATATTAAATAAACCATATGATATATTTAAAGGATATATGTCTCTTCAGCTGCAGGAAAGAAAAGCTATCTGCATGCAGCAGTCATATGCTTTTCAAGATACAGAACCGTATCCTGAAAAGCATGTGTCAGCTGGAGATAACTTCCTTCCAGCAACAGAAAATTAATAGCGCCTTATATTTAAACACAGTATAACATTCTTTTTAGTTTGTCAACATTGACATGAATATAAAATGAAAACCAAAAAAAATAACATATCTAAATTTATCATTTAAAAAGTTAAAAATACATTTAAAAATGCTAACATGTGAGTAGAGAAAGAGGAGCCTTGACTAATGGATTCCACGCTCGTCGCAATAGAGAGGAGTTCGAAAGTTTAAGAAGTATAGAGAAGGGTGGAAATGAAGAGGGTGAATGTGAGAAATGGGTTGGAGCACAAAAGTGTTTTCAACTAATGATTTAGGCCTTTATGTCGTTCATTCACATTGCATGACAAAACGTTCACATATCCCATATTCTTGCACAATTATCTTTTACTAGTAGTGTTACATGTTTGTCCCAACCATTGACACTACACTCACCAACTGCTCACTCAATCGCATGCATTTTAGAATATTTCCCACAATCATCTATATATGACATATTCATGCTTTAAGACAAGGATATTTTACTATTTGCTCAATTGAGTCTATTCCACCTCTTGCGAATACTAACTTAACACCGGAAACACGATAATAATTAATGGCCAGTCCAGAATAGAATTCAAACAGACGCTCTTAAATAATACTTCCACTCTTTACACACATGATATTTCATGTTTAAATGGATATCCTATTAGATTAAGGAGTTACCACTGGTTTAATTTATAGCTGATGGCGAACATGTAATTTTATTTTAAGGTTTATTAGAACTATATCAAGCATGAGAGGTTACACATTCCAAGCGCTGTTGGCTAAAATATTAAACCTACAAATCTTAAAGGTGATGCTAAGCAAATAAACCCAACATCTATATCAAGTTATTGATTTTCACATATTCACTTGCATAATGGTGAATGATTTTGGTTTTAATTTAGTATCTTACCCTTGTTATATTATCTTGCATTGCAGAGGTCATTTTTGATTTCCTATATAACTACAAATTTTTAATTAATGAAAAAATGCTTAATATATATTCATATAATATTTTTTTATAACTTTTCCTTAATTCAATTCCTACAAGATTAAACATGGCCGGACCTAGGGAGGGGTAGGGTTGGCCACCGCCTCTCCCTAAATTTTCAATTTTTTAAATATATATATATATATATATATATATATGGATCCAAGGAGGGGCTAATATTGGTCGTCGTCTTTTTCTAATATTTAATAATTTTATCATTTAATATATAAAATAATATTTTTAATAATAATAAACTATTAGTACTAATAGTTAGTATTTTCCTCAAAAATATTTATAATAATTGGTATCTCCTATTAGTCTTAATAATACTTATAATTTTAAGATTTCATTTTCGCCCCCTATTATAAAAAATCTTAGGTCCGCCATTATATATATGTGATAGGATATTCTTATATCAGTATAAGAATAAGAAGTAAATAGAATTATTTATCAAATTTAAGAGTGTAATTACACTGATGTAAAATGATCATGGCTAAATAACTTTAGTAATACCCATAAACTATCCAATTATATATATAAATGGATTAATGTTTCTCATGTTGTATGAGATACTTTTATCTTCTACACACACATAAAAGTATGTGCCTATATTTTCTTTTTCTCTCTCTTCTCTTCTCTTCACATGGACCCTACACATTTTTATATGTGTATAGGAGATAAAATTATCTCCTATAACAGAGAAACATTATTCCTTATATATATATATATATATATAGGGAAAAATATTTCTGCAGTTAATGGAGATAAGTTATCTGCATTTATTCTCAAAACGACATCGTTTTGGTATTGAAATCTTAAAAAGTTATAAATATAAAAACTATTGTAACCCTGAAATAAATTAAAATTTCAAAAACAACATGATTTCCGCCCCAAAACGACGCCGTATTGGGCTTACTGCAGATTACTTATCTGCAGTAACTGCAGAAAAAATGAACTCATATACATATATAGGGTTTGTTTTTTCTGATGTTACTTTAGATAACTTTATCTAATGTTCATCAAAACGACATCATTTTGGGACGGAAATCATGGTATTTTTGTAATTTTAATTTATTTCAGGGTTATAATAGTCTTTATCACTCTAATTTTTTAATTTTTCAACCCCAAAACGACGTCGTTTCCATGAACATTAGATAAAGTTATCTAAAGTAACATCGGAATTTTTTTTCCCATATATATATATATATACGACTTTAATATTTATATAGTGAATGCAGATAGGTTATCTATATTCACTACCAAAACGACGTCGTTTTGGATTGAAAAATTAAAAAGTTATAATGAAAAAGACTATTTTAATTCTAAAATAAATTATAATTACAAAAATACCTTGATTTCTGCGTTACGTTAGAGATACGACGGAGTACATTCTTCAGTAGATTTAGATTATATTACATTAAGGTAGTAGTGGCACACAAACTATTTAATTAACTGAGCTTAATTTCTGCTCTTATTTATTTATTTATTTTGAATATAAGGAAAAATTAAAAAACAGAACTAGTAAAGCAAACTACACATTCTTAGGCTACCTAGCCCAACTTCATCCTTACGAAGGAAAGACAAACAACCCGCAGGGGGATGGTCTAAAATACATAAGTTCCAATTCTCATGGTCATGGCTGAATCTTGCAACCGTCCCTTAGAATCGACTAACCCACGTGCAAGTGTCGTTTACATGGAACATTTTTCCTCTTCGGCCTTCAAAGTTCTCATTTAAATATTTGCTACTATCACCAAGATCTGCACCGATGACCACTCTGTCCAGGTTCGCGCCCCGAGTTTTGCAGCGACCATCACGCCCTCCTACTCATCGGGGCCTGGCCCTTGCCCCGACGGCAGGGTATAGTAAGTACGAACATGAGTTTCAGCCCTATTAGTCGTCCATAGTGAACAAAATAGTTTCTATGCCGCCTCGATAGAAAATTATTGTCATTTCCCATACTCCCACCAATATACGGAACTCAGATTTTTTCTTCATCTGTTGAAACCATTATACCCCAACCGTCATCGATTATGCAAATGCTCGGCATTATTTTCTTTAGAACAAGTTAGCATACAAATTATATAATGTGACATAAATTTCAGTAAAATTGAGATTTTCAAACTATAACTAATGGAAAATATAATTCTCTTTTATTTTTATTTAAATAATAAATGTAATAACAAATATAATTAAGAACATGCAATACTTACCTGAAATTATTAAATGTCCAACCTTTGAGGGTTTCAGAGTATGAAAGATTATTGAGTGGCTGAGCTCTTAGCCAAAGTAAATCATCTCTTACTACATAATTTTCTGATCCCAAACTTCCTTGGTTCAATTCTCATATAAATTAAAAATATTATATTCTTTAAATATTCATTTGGTATCAAAGAATTATAAATTTAACTAACAACATTTC